AGGACGTGTATACCTACGCCTATGTGTACGTAACAACCATCTTTTGGAATCGATGTGGACGAGCGTGTGATATGTCTGCAGGTTCACTGGGAATTTGCCGTAAATTAAATCGTCACCATCGCCTTCTGGGGTTGGCTGATGTTGGTCCCCTTGCAGCACACTGGGTTTTGGGTCATGGGACACACGCCTAGAGACAGAAATACAGATACGAAAACGTCGGAATAGTATGAGCATTCGGACACAGAAAGTTGAACGCAATCAAAGACATGGAAATACGGAGGAAAACAATAGCAGAGAGTCAGAAAATAATTAAGTCCAAACCCTGACTAAGTTTGACTAATGTATGTATATATACTCATAAAAAAGCAAAGTTGAAAGAGCAAGAAATAAAAAATAAATAAGAGGGAGAAATCAACTAAACAAAAAAGAATTAGAGATCATTTTTAGAATAATTTCATTTGATAGATCGAAAAAAGTATATATCATGGACCAAAACCTCAAAACGGATCCTTTCTTCATACGTAAGAATCAATGCCAAGGATATACAAGTACATGCAGTTAATCCTATCACAAACAGAGCCACAACACATGCGTGTATGCACATACATGTACGTGTGATCCCTCGAAAACGTCACCCCCGGTATAGTAGCAGCCAACAACCTTATCTTCCTCGAATAAAGTCCACCGTCGTCCTTTACGGCCAATGTCACTGCAAAGGATTTTCATACCGCAAACAAAAAATCTTTTATCGATATTTCAATGGGGAGGGAGTGATACTGATATCATCTCTCGACGACATGTATATATATTCATTCCACGGGTCTTTTCGGAGCCAGTCAGTGTGAACTTGGCATGATTGTTTTAAATCGTCAAGTTTGATTGTGAGATAATTTGTTGAGATTATCTTATAAATCGTTGCAGCCTTTCCTACTTTGATCCATTGGATGTGGAGAGCTAGGAATGGTTATATTGTTGCATACTGGGAATTTAATGTAGGAAAGAAGAAGAAAATAAAAAAAACAATCAGTACAAGTATAAAATGAACGGAAAAAAGTAGAGAGAGCCAGTGCAAGGAGCCTCCACGCGCTTGGTACAGGCGAATATCATTTTATGAATTACATATGGGTGTTGACGACCCATGTTACCCACATGTGCGAGTATAGTGACGAAAAAAGAAACGCAAGGTGACAAAGAAAGAGAGATTTATAAACACAAGGGTAGAGAGAATCGAAACAGGTTTATCGCACAGGACATAACTCAAACTTGTACTTTACTGCTACGACTCACACACGCGCGTCTATTGCATTTTCCCGAGATTAGCATGTCAGCCTAACGTGGCGTGACCTTTCTAAAGTTGTTCATTACTGCGGTGCCGGGTCGTTTCATTTGAATTTCACGCTCGTCGCAAATAATTGCATGTGCGAGTCGAAGGTTTAGGTACGAGGAAGAAGGAACACATGTGCGCGTCCATACTTTTTTTTTTTTTCTTCACCGAGTAAAGGTAGATGTGTATGAAATTATGGTTCTAAAAATAAGTGAGTGAAGATTCACATCGGAAACCACGATTTTTTTACTCCTTGCGACTCCTTTTTGCTTTTAAAAATTGCATGCCAATACAGTGCACCCCCTTTTCTTTGACAATCCCTCGTAAAACCGAGTCCAAATCCAAAAAGGATACCAAAAAATTTCGACGCATAGCAGTGTAGCACGACAGGTCTGAATCACGCCTCCACACTTTGGTAATAAAAAAGGCCTTCCCGATGTAGCGGGTGAAAAAAAAAAAAATGAAAAAAATTGAAAAAAATTGAACAACCCTAATCACGCCCTGATGTTATTATTTTTTCTTTTCATCGCCGTCATTCCAACGATGCGTCGGAGGGAATATATAAGGAGCATAGGTTTTAAAACGCCCCCCGTTAAATGCAAAGCAGAACATGAGCTGCTGTGCACGAGCGGTGCGTCTCGATGAAAAACCATAAATCACGATAAAAACACGTGCACGTGTTACCCTCTCTTATTCTAGCCCCCCCCCTCTTTTAAGCCTACATATCTTAAAGGGCTAAACGTAAACTATTAACGCGCTTGCATTTATGCAAATGCGACACAGGCACTGCTTTACTCTATCTCTGGCTTTGGGGTGCCGGTGATCCGTGTAAGGAGTCCGAGGGTGTGTGCACACGAAACAGCCTACATGTGCATATTATGTACGCAATGTGTATATACAAGGGAGTGTTGCGTACATTGCGATCCTGAAGCACAAAAAAAAACAATTGCAAGTAATTCACTCAACATGAATTCCATGCTACTATACGCGTATATTTTAATTTATTCGATAGTTATTTTTCCTTTTTCCTTGGTCATTCCGTTTTGCAAGTTTGAATTTAAAATTTAAATTGAATTTATTCCTCTAATCGAAACTAAACTTTTTTTTTATTTAAGTATTTCCATTGACTTAATCTCAATAACAAAATAAATAGAAATTACAAATAATTAAAACTATGTCAGTAAATATGCACCTGTACACCAACATCACAATAACGTAACAGTGAAATCACCGTAACATACATCACAGAAAAAAAGTTTTATCCGAATGAAGAAAAAAAAGTTAATCCGCCTCCACCCGGAGAGTCGTTACGATTCAATTTTCTCTCGAAAGGGTGGGCAATAATTTTACATGCACCAAAACGTCATCGTACGCTTAACAACCGCAGCGTTATTGCCCGCAACTACATGTATATATACACCTTTCGACGTCTAGTCGGCAATTATTGTCCATTTGGGCTTTTTGTCGGTGGGCCGGCGAAAAGAGGACGGGAGAAAGGGATGAGGGATAATGGCAAAAAAAAAAAAAAAAAAAAAGGCACCTTGATCCCCTAATGATACATCTTACGGTGCTGTAATGGACTCCCAGTTGCCGCGATAGAATTCACCAGCCGGTTATCCGCTGCTTGGTGCCTGCGAAACGAAAGTACACGTCCGTATAATAAGCCCCGCAATTTGCCCCACTTTTGCGCTGTGTCCTTATATTGTCCGAATCAGTTTCTTCTTCTCGGGTGGGTTTCCAACAACCGAGAGATTGAGAAAATGACGAACCTTACACCTTCAAAAATAATACATTTGCATCGCAACAATAGGCACTACCACTCGACGAGTAATTTCGATAACTGCTTCGTTTTTGAGTGCACTTGACATCCGGCCACACGCGTTGGACACGATCGAAACTAGATACCCCGAGGACCCCCTTGACTTGCACGTCACTAGAAGTACGACATTATAGGCAAGGACCCCAATGCCAGTCTCATTACGCGCCTCATCCTCGTCTCGGGAACCCACAGCTGTCGTACGATTTCCCGGTAAGTCCGTGTGCTTCTCCCGTGTAGGTACTCGTCTGTCAAAACAGAGTTTCAGAGGTGCGTCCCGGCGACAATCAGATATCCCGCGCGCGCCTTCGAGAATCCCCGTTTCGCTTTACACGATGTTACAACCGACCCAGTGACGATTTATCACGTAACTATACGTAACTGTGTGGACTAAGGGGACGTCGGTATATTGTGGGTTATTGCGAAATTATCACCCCCGGGGAAAAAAAAGGTGAATGAACATCCACACCGTGTGCAGGTATGTTTTGTATACTTAGGAGTACACTCGAGTGGGCCGATCATCAATTACCCATTGGATGTATGAATTGGAGGCAGATGCGTAGACGGCGAGTCGAGCCTGTCTTTTGGAAGAGATACTCAATGGTGCGCGTTTTCCTCCTATTTATACCTAAACTATATGGTGTGGGCTTCGTTGCTTCGCTTCGTTCATCTCATTCCGAGGTATTATACTTTTACTTCCAGATTTCAAAGTGACCCTCCGTTTTAATTGAATCATTATTTTTTCGAACGAGATTGATTAATTTAAAAACGGACCAAGAGATTTTGGATATTAACAATATTTTCCTGTGTTTCGAGTTGATTTTAAATCTAATGGTTGGACTCTTTGGTAAATTTCATGAAGATATTTTTTTAATTTACATTAGTTCACACGCTACGTTATTATGGAAGATAGCGGATGACATCCACGAGATTGGAAAAAACGCCATCCGTTTGAAGAAAAAACAAGAATTTGGGTCACTCTTGCACTGAAACACAAGCCCATATTATCCGTGAAATAACGTAATATGAAGTCTATAGTCCGTATCATCTCAAGAAGCATTTCTCAAAAAAAGGAATCGACGATGACAACGTGTGAACACGATAGGAGGAGGAAGATATTTGCTTTGTGAGCAGCATGTGGTCCGACATCACCTGCGCAACTTTTCGCTTGTATAGGCACATTGTAAGGTCGCATTGTCCGTCGTCGTCATCGCAGTAAACGCCATTAATCACCGATCCCCCCCCCCCACCAGTAGCCACTTTCTTCCAGGACTCCTGAATCTCCTTTTGAGAAAGATCGATCTACCGTTTTTATTTTTTTTTTATTTTCAAGTAAATAGAGGCGTCCCGTGGGACAGCTAAATTGTATGGGTACATGGTACTTTTTGAAACCCGCGTGAAATCGGAGAGTGCGACTTTATTTCTTTTTTTTCTCTTTGGTACCACGAGACGAAGGTGAGGCGCATTATTGGGTGCTGTTACATGCTCCTTGGAATCCGATGATGATAAAATCGATGACTATACATACACATACTTACGTCACCAAGTGCGAGCTTGTTTTTTGTTCAAAGACTTTTTGCGTTACTCGTGAGACTTGATTCATAAAAAAGGAGGTTTTTCATACTTGGAAAGTATTTAGCCGGTGTCCTTTTCGTCCCTCGGCACATTCAACAGATCAGGACCTCTTTTCCTCATATGTATACGTAACGTCTAAACTACGTGTGTATTGAGCTTTACTTTAAAGATGTCAGGTATGGCATTGGTTATATACAATTGTATGTATTAAACGTTTCAGGTAAAGTGTATCAAGTTAGAGTGGCCATCTTTGATTTTTATTTTTCCATCAAAAGGATTTTTCGTACATTGCGTTGAATTAAAATGAAAACAATTGTGCGAAATGAACATATATATCCTTCATTAATCCACTCGATGAGTCGCTCTTCTAAATTTATTATTTCAAGGCAGCCATTCCGCTCAAAAAATTCCTCGAATGTACATGTGCAATAAGTAAAAGGGAGTTTGTGCAGAAATAGGTATAGGTCGTTCAGTAGCTTGAAGTTGATTTTTTGGTCCACCACGTCAGGCATGCCAACCCTCCCATAGTTGGTTTTCATGTTGGTCTGAAATTAGAAAAATGTATCATTGGTTAATGGGTTTTTTAAATTATATTATCAAAAATTTGGAAAATAAGGACATATGACGAATTGTGCTGGGATTTCAAAACTTCATGATAATTTATACGTAATTTACTGTGTCAAAATTACCAAGCGGTTCTTAAATACTTTTGTTCTTGAATAATCAATTATGATAGTAAATAAAAAATAAACATTACTGTATTGAGCAATGAAAGGTTTTGCTATTACAAATCACAAAATTTACGTGTTGTCTCAATTAGTGGTATAAAATATCAAAGATTGTATTTTTGCACTGTTGGAAAGGATTACTCGTATTTAAGTCCTCACATTAAGTGGTAATAAACATGGTTCTGAATGAAAATACAATACTTTATACAGGAATAACAAACAAGTCCTTTTTTTATCAAATATTGATGAATAAAGTATTGGTAAAAAAAGCATCAGAGCATCTCTTTCCTTCTCTTTCTCTTCCTTTCTTTTTTCTTTTATTCTCCAATTATGTGCACTTTCATGTGCAAGTTTGTGTCAAAAAAATAAAAGCAACGTGCCGACCGTATGTTACCTAAAACAACGACTTACATATATATAAAAGTGCAAGAAAAAGAGAGAGAGAGAGAGAGAGAGAGAGAGGAAGAAACGGTGAGTGACGAATGTACATATAGTGTCCGCCTGTATCGTATACAGCAGCAGTAGTTCTTTCTTTCCCGAAAAAATCGTCCCGGTCACGCCCCAAAGCACGTCCACGTATACCTATATACGGGCAAAAACAGCACAGCAACAACCGACGGCAGCAGTTGAACAGATCGCCCCACTTACGTCCTACTCGCGTGTCGTGTCCGACGACTACACTATATATATCATTATATGTGCATAGGTAACCAGTGGCCAGTTTGCAAAGGCGTGCGATGCACAAACGCCATAAATTAACGGCAATTGTTGAAAATCATTGAGCGACCGCGTGTGCGTCAGGGGGTGAAGGATAACGAAGGAGAGAGAGGACGTGCACACACGATTTACATGACTTTTTTGCCCCAACCGTTACTTTGCTCTCTGCCCTAGAATCTACCTTTATACTGTCATTTTTTTTTTTTTTTTTTTTTTTTTTTCCAAACATGCAAATGGGCAGCAGCGAAAGGGTTGCCAGACGAAATATCGCCGCTCATTACTACCCCGTAATGGCCGTCACGCCCATATTCACGCGTTTGTTTTTTTCGAATCCACCTCGTGCCTATGCCCATTATATCATGGTGGGAAAAGGGTTGCCAATGGCTGGACCGCGTACGTAGTTGGGATCGCCTTTTTGTTGGTTTTTAACTATCGGAGAGGGGGAGACAGCGTTGATTAATACATGCTCGTTTGCATAAACGCGCGGGGCTCATTGTCTGGAAGCTTTGACGATTTGACCATTTTTTAATCAATTGAAAAACTATTACTCTTGATAATGTATGGAATATATCTGGTTTGTGGACGACAATTTTTTTCTGAACGAGAGAACTGGGCAACTAGATGAAACAGTGACTCCTCGAAATTGTGTCCAACGTCATCTACATTGTTTGTTCCGCATGAAGTATCCTCAAAACGTACTGTTATAGCTCATCGGGTGTGTGTGAACATTTTTTTTGCTCTTGACCCCGATTTAACAGCTGTCTTTTATTATTATCACTGCTATTGTTGTTATCGTCATAATTATTCTGCAACGAAAAGAGGAACATACAGTGCACATCGCGAGCCTGTATACCTTACAATCGGCCTAATTAAAATTAAGACTCTGAATGTCGTACAAAATCTATGTACCTGCCGCAAGATAAGGCCTCTCCCCTTACGCGCGTGTGAATAATAATGCACGTTTACAATTGATATTTATACGTGCAGTGAGTACTTGGGTTCCCATTGTTATCGCGACACGCGCATCGCGCAATTAAAGCTCACCATCGCGCGTTTCGGCCACGTGCCACGCTCTCTCTCTCTCTCTCTCTTTCCTCCTTCGCCGCTTTTGAACGCGTCTCCCCCTCTTTTTTTCCGAGTTCAAGTATAAATTACGATGTTGCGATTCGAAAACAATAACGGGGACTGTGTACATTGCAGTTGTTGTTATTCAAAGGTATATAAGTAATATGGGATTGTCAAGGGGATGTGGGAAATTGTTTTAGCGAGTGTGTGCGATCGAGTGACATTTCCGCTGGTTTATGTAGAATCTCTCCAATGGAAAACGTAAAAAAAATCTGACATATTTATTTTAATTGCAATGTGCACGCCATGATAAACCTGTACATAATATAACGTTGGTATATGTTCATTCAGATTTAGACCAAAGTTTGCGTGTGGGTTTGAGAAATAGATAATTCAAAGAATTGGAGGTTTTTCTCAAATTTACATAAGTATAGCTCTTTTGAGTACTGCATCCTCAAAATATTCAAAATTATTCGAAAAAGAAGCTATACGTGTGCACAGTGTGCCCTACAGTCCTCAATGTTTACGAGTGTGTGAGAGAAAAAAAGAGAAATCTGAGGCCCAACATGACTTTTTGGAAGGACGTGACGGCGTCCTTCCGTCCGCCCTTTCAGTTTCAATAGAAAAAAAGGCACTAATTGTCTTAAATTGCCGGCAGTCTAGTCGCCTTCTCTCTCGAGCGTGAGTACCTCTCCGGAACATTGGAACATATGGCTCGCTCGGACGCCTGCTTTATGAAAAACTTAATCAAGTTTGAGCCTTTAGACCTATGTTGTATTTTAATGATATTTGAAGCAGCGTGTCGCAGTTCTCTAGGTTTATGAAACTATCATTGAAACATCTGCTTTTCCTTAGCAAAATTTTTTTTTTTTATATTGTTAGAGACTTAAAAGGGACACAAACCAGGAATTACTTATTCTCAACATAAGTCATTTGGGATACCCTAACGAAAATTTAATTTTGTTCAAAGTTTTTTGCTAGAATATATATTTTTTTTCATATTTTTTGAGCCAGAACTTACAGAACTTGTATAAAAAAGTGTGAGTCTTTTTGTTGTTGCCCTAATCAGTATATTTTTTTCACCCTTTCTTTTTTGATCCTTATCATTCTATGCAAAACGGTGGCAACTTTTCCACTTATTTTTCCGGGTCCCGGGTTCTTGGAAAACATTTTTCAATTTTTACGACCTCTCTGAAGTCCTTTTATCCTTATTGCTATTGGCCCTGTAAGAACTATCAACTGCACGTACAGATATACCCCTCGACGAATTTTCACAAAAAAAAAAAAAAAAAAAAAAAAAGTAATCAATGTAAATGCGAGTGAGTTGTTTCTATTACAGATCCATCGATGTATACTCGATATTTTAATAAATAAGCACATCAATTGTCCGTCCATACGTATAAATGTACACTATAAGACAGATAATCCCACTGGATGTACGTACGCATCGTTACGCAAACGTCATCGCGTGTACGCCTATTTATACAATGGTATACACTCGTATGTGCACATTGGAACCTGATAATGTTATTTTTATGACGCACGTTTATTTGCATATACATGCACGCGCATCGCAACATACACATTTGAACTTACGCCGCCCCTTTTGGATTACTAGAGAGAAACGAAAAAGAGCCACGGAGGGGATGGATTTGAGCTGCACACGTCGTTTAAAAAGAGAGAGAGAGAGAGAGAGTTTGCATAAGTGCGCGTGTGCACGTATACAATAAGTCCCCTTTGCACGGCTCGTTCGTCACGGTGACGCGAGTGCGTGAGAAAAAAAAAAAAAAAAAAAAAAAAAAAGGTAGGAAACGCGTGCAAGTGCACACGCGCCGTTTTTCTCCTCTGACTGCCAGCGTTAGCTGAGACATAGGGACTCTTATCGAATTAGCGGCTCTGGTCAATCGTTAAGACGTATACTTTCGACTTGCGGTTGTCCACAGTGCTTGGACTTTGTTACGTATATATGTATATATTTGGATTTTTACGACTCGCAATACCAGCTAAAAGTTGTTGCGGAGGCCGAGTTTTCTCTCCCAACTTAACTATGAGTCCAATAGAATATGCACCATTATTTTATGATGTACCTTTAAACACTTCGTTGGGAAATGACTTTCAGTTTAACGCCTCGCTGTGTTTTACGGCCGTTTTTTCGCTTTGGTATACGCGAGCGGTTCTAATAAAATAAAAGAAAAAAAAAGTTACTTGGGAATCCCCTGACATTGAAAATAAGAAATTCTGTTCCTCCTTGCAAAATAATTTTTTTTTTTTTTATGTATTCTTGATAAATTTATATTTTGTTGTTACATTACGTTTCATCCACACGGAGATGATAAAATCAGGAAAATTACTGTGCTGGGATAGTAACCTGATCTTATTCCGCCCTCTAGGGTTTTTTTTACTCTTAGAAACTTAATTTTTAATTTATTTATCAAAATAAAAATCATTTTACGAAGAAAAAAAATTGACAACAAAGCAGCACCAAATTACTATGTAAACACACTAATTAATTTTAATTTTTTTCTAGCAGTGCATTTCTGCCATTTCATCAGCACAATTTGTAAAAATAACAAAAAAAGGCATCGTTAGGATATCACGGCGTATCGATCACTCAATGCTTCATCACGGGTCATAAATAAAAATTAAAAACCACAATATAAAAAAAAAAAGAGAGAGAGAGAAAAAGACGGTGCACGTGTCGCAATGGTGACAAATAACCGGCAATAAAAAAAGAGAGTATGGAATGAAAGGGGTTGACGAGATGGGGGTTGTTGGGTGTGCGGCGCAAGAAGGATCCACAGGAACGAAAACGAGTGGATTTTTGGCAACGCGCACCGATTCGTCACGCCATGGGTCCCCCCACCCATAGATAAAGGGTTTACGAGACACAATTTCACGGGTCTAAACGTGTCTCTTTTTTTATTTATCGGCGTCTCCTCTCCCATTTGTGACTACATGTATGTATACGTGCGTTCGTAACGAGGCGAAACGTTTAACGAGGTGGGAGGAAAATCAAAGGAAACGAGAGAAAATCGACACGTGTCCCGCGAGCCTATATATCTTTAATTTGTCTCGTCTCTCGCGTCCATTGGGGTCAAACTTTTTATTGGCTCTTGATTCATGCGATTTGCGATACATTGAAAAATTTATGATTTTATTTATCACGTATAATAATACCGCCGATTGTTTTGTTATACGTATCGCAAAAAAACACGGGATTACATGAAATTTGTAGCTCAAATTATACTCATTTTATTTTCGTCGTGTATAAGATACATTTCCGATATCGTCATGCTCGGACGGGCTCAATCTCTCGGCGACGGGCGATGTAGAACATCGTAATTGCGTTGCACCTTGCCTGTTGTTTTTTTTTCTTTGCTACCGATCCTTTGATCTCTCTCTCTCTCTCTCTCTTGCTTCCTTTTTCAGGTATAATCGAGGTACTCTCTCTAATTTTTTTTTTTTGCTGCCTTTGAGTCTACAATCCGAACATCCGGCTGGACCGTGAGCGGACTACTTATTGAAAAAAAAAAAAAAAAAAAAAAAAAAAAAAAAAAAGTTTGTATCGTTAGAGTAACTACCAAGGAGTGATCTATGAGAGCTTCAGTATGTATGAAATTTACTATGTATGCGCTTGCGAACAAAAAAGGGGGAGCACACGACACCTCACTCGGGAGTACAGCTTGTATGTACGAGGAAATCTACAAAAAACATCCCGTTTTTGTCCCCGATTTTTAAATGAAATATTTTTTAGGCATACCCTTGAAACCGCGCTTATTTTACTCACTCGTCGTGTAGATCGAAACTTTTTTATTAATTATATTTTTGATCGTTTGGTATACTTTTAAACGTTTCATTGATCTAAAAACTATTTCAGAACTTCGATTGGGGTAATGTAGAGCCACGGAAAATATTTGATAGACATTCACCGTAGAGAAATGATAACCCATTAAAGTCTATATGGCTTCAAACACATTGTATTGTCTTTGCAGAGGGTATTTATTTGCAGTTTTCAAAAAAGAAAATATTTTAATTTAAGCTAGGAAAATTTGTTCCTCACCTTTCCCGTTTTTCTTCCGCAATTCGCATCCACCTGGATAAGCTCACGGATCATCTGAACCGATGCCAAACAAAAGCCAGAGGCTCGTGCTGATGCTGCAGGCAAAGGCAATCTCAATGTTTGTTGGGAAAGCGAATCAAAGGCTCATTCAACGGACAGTCTCGGCAGCTCTTGTATTGTATCTGTTGGGGTTTCATAAATGAGAAAAATTATTTTCACTATGGGTACGTTACATAAACGTTACATAAAATAAATGGGTATTCACTACACCGCGTGTTTAACGCAATAACCCCTTGTTATTAGATTCAGTTTATTATTTTTCTACACTCTAAAAATAAATCTTAGCTCTTATCTGTTATCGTTTCTGAGTGTGTATGCCTCTGCGTTTTTGTATTGGTATACTTAAACTTTGCGCCACTTTTCATTTTGGTTCCAGATTTCGTCATGGTTTGTATTTTTTATATATTTTATTTCTTCTTTACTTAAATTACCGCACGATATCATTCTTCATTTGTTTATTTATTTTCTTAGCTCATTTTTACTTGCCAAATATACATGCTTTTGTATATAGTTAAAAGTTGTTTTTTCTGTACTTTAATCTCTATTTTATATTCTTTTTTTTTTTTTTTTTAAACTACAAGAAAAAATTCCTTGTAGTCGACCAATGATTCATTAACGATAATTCAAGATTTTTTTTTGTAACTCTAATACTAATTATCAATTACTTGATTCACTAACCGCTAACGATTGAGTGATGACTTATATTTAAATCTGTATTCGTTAACAGTTGATAATTGTGGCTCAAATGCAAGAAATCTTTTCCATCAGTGTATCCACTATAATTTTTATCCTTTTTTCCCTTCAAAATTTTATTTTAGTTCACTCACCGCCTTTTTTGTCTGTGGTGGCAGTCGTCGGCTTCAGACTTTTTTCCCTCGCCGGTGATGACTTGAGGTCCGCGGGATAAAAATTTTGGCCTCAACTGCCCACAGTACATATCCACACCGTCCAACGCCAGAACGCCCATTTCAAGACCAGTTCCAAAAAGGTCACTTAATCAACTTTTATCGACCAACATCACACATAACTCGCTGATGATGCACGGAATCCATCAACATTGGCGACGATACACGTGAATGATTGAAACATTTTTTTTTTCACCATCGTATACACTCACGCAAGGGTATCTTGCTGGCGTCCCGAAGGAGACTGAGTTGACTGCCGTTCGCTGCATTGACGCGTGGTACTGTTTTCGAAGAGACAAGCAACGCGCGTCCACGCCTACCAGTACCCCCTCTACTAACGTGGAACGCGTTTAGCTGGAATGTAAACGTGTGGTGGGGGTAACGGAGGGTGGCCTACCTTTTGACGTACGCGAGAACTCGCCTCGTATTACGTACATGTCAAAATCTTTGAAAAGTCACAAGTTGGGAGTGACTCAAATTAAAAAAAAATTATTTTCGCGATTTAAAATGAAACGTACGTTTTACATTGTTTTTTTGTAAAATACAGTTACATTAAAACAAAAAGTCACAATATTTATTAGACAGAATTATCAATCACTTACGTATACAATACCTTGAATTTTACAATGTAATAATCATCGAAACAGCTAATTAATTGAAGATATCTTACAAAAGACTGTCACAGACTATACTCTTTTTTTGCTTAAAATTTTACAGATTTCATTGGATTTTTCTCTTTTCATTTCTTTTCTTTTACAATCTTTATGCACATACACTACAAGTACATGCATGCAAAAAAATATCTATAAATTGCATTTTTTTGTAGTTTAAAACTGATATAAATTTCTAAGACAAAAAAAGGTTTTCCTATCTCGGGCGTTTTTGTGGGTATGGTGTACCCTCGGTAGGAAAAACAGTGTTTGGTACACAAGTGCCATTCGGGGCTACCTTACGGCCAAAAAATAGCACCAGGGGTGATGGCCATTTTGTGACAAAAACCACTTTTTTTTATTTTTTATTTTATTTTATAGCTATAAAAACGCTTATAATTGTTATCTGTTTATTAGACATTTTTATAGCTACATCATAAGACGTTATAGCTATTATTGTACACTAATACAGCTAAAAGTTCACTTTATTTTTGTGGTTAAAAATTATTGACCATAAAGACAAAAAAAACGTATTGCAATGTTATTTAGCTTGCGCTTGAAATAAAAAAAAAAAATTAAAAAAATTCTCGCTCCACCCTGCTAATGAAAAAAACAAGTATTTGTTTACAGTGGCCAAGAAAAAGGAGAAAAAAACCAGTGCGCACGCGTCTCGTTGCAACTGTCGATCAAATAGCGCCTAAAAAAAGGTTTGATCCCTCTACGGCCCCTTCGATCCGTGCACCGCCACTGCAGAGAATGAAAGCCTCTCGCATAAGCGACGGGAACAGCTAATTACTCGTCCACATGCTCTGTCAAAGCGTGCGAGGTATAAGAGATTGAGTCGGGGGGTTGAGCGAAAATTAGCCAAGACAATGGGCGGCGCGGGGTAGACAGTGGCAGATGCAAATGTGTAGATATCTCTCTCTCTCTCTCTCGTTGAGTGTCACATTATACGGAGGATGGCCTTACTTGTATAGGTGACGCGTAACGTGGCGTGATTGAATTTCGACGTGCGAACGCGTTGTCCCGACGTGACAAAACGAAAAAGAGCTGACAGTGCACACATGCGACACTCGATTCTATTGAGCCTTCTGTATCTCTTGCTTTCGTTACATTTTTTTCTACGCGAAAGGAGAGTTATCTGTCCCTATACACATGGTTGGACTATTATACGGTGAGTGTATACACAGTGTTGTGTGTGTGTGCAAAGCTGACGCTTAGTTTTTCAATTTAATTTTTGTTTTCCTGAACGTAAATCGAACGTTTTGTAAAAAAACATTGAATATTATAATTATTCATTTATCAAGAAATACCAGCAAACGAAAAAGAAAGGACGTAGCGATCGCTTACGGTTTTTCAGGATCGTAAAATAAATGTTCTTACTATCACCAAGTAAATTCCCTGTCGAGACAATTGCTGTAATAGTATGTACAAAAGTACCATTACAAATTAAAAAAACTCACTTTCAATATCTTGATTATTATCTTACGCAAAAACTTAAACAACTTGTATGACGAGTGATTCAATTTTTTTTAAAAATCATTATTGAATACTTTGTGAATTATCTGTGAATTATTTTTTGATGATATGAATCAAGGCAACCTAAACCTACTTGTAAGGTAACGTAAAATTGGTATATACTGTTTGGCACCGTATTCGATTAGAATTGTAGATAGTAATCATAATATATGTGTTCACTGAGGGTAAAGGAATATTTGTTCCCAATGTCCACCCACAAATTCAACCGTATACAATTTTCATAGCTCGCCCTATGCTACCGGCGCATTTACCCAACATCAATGACATCCTTTGTGTACGCGTGTGCAAATATAGAGGACTTCCGCAATTTTATTTCTCTCCTCGTGTCTTTTAACCTTTTGCTGTTGCCTCTCTGCTTTCCCTCCCAACATTATGATTTTTACATTTGTATTTGATGGACTTGCAAACATCACGGCAATTAGTACACACGTGGCACAGTCTCAATTGCAAGCAACGGTGATGGCAGCAACAGCTTGCAAAGCCAACAGCGTATATAGCAAAGAGGAGAGAGCCTCTAATTGCCCTTCTGCACCAGCTGGTCGCTACCTTTCAAACGTCAAACTACAAACGACTCGTTTTCTTTTTCGTTCTTTGTTTATGCTGTACTTTCTTATTTTCTTTCTTAACATTTTTTTCTTTTTCTTTTTTTTTCTTCTTTCCTGATGGGATAGCATTGATTCGAGTTGGAAACTCCAAGTATAGTTGTTTGTCATCTTCCGTATGTCTCTTATCTCACTTCCTTTTTTTAGCAATAATTATTTTTTTTTTCATAAGTTCACTCATACCTAATTTCGCCCTACGATATATTTATCGAAGGACGACAATAACCGCCTCTGCTCGTGTCCATGAAATAAAAACAAAAAGAGGAAAATAAAATGTGTGCCATGTATTACATGCATCGATTATGTCTACAATCGCTCGAGCATTGCTAATGTGAATAAATAATTTGTAATTGTAGATACGCGTAAGGTACTTTGAGATCAGCACGACAATCACACACTATATACGAAATGGACAATTTCTTTCGATGTGCACGTGCATGCACACATCATAGTCCCGCAAACGCGATCGCGTGCATCAATACATTCGAGTTTTTATTATGCGCGTTTATTTGCATAGATGCGTGTGTGTGCACATCCCAAATGATGTACGTCCATATCGGATAAATAGGAGCCCGAAAAAAAGGGTGACGATGAGCACAGGGATGGGGTTACGCCGTGATCCACCAACAGAGCTTGCATAAGTGCGTCTATAATCGTATGTACAAGTCCATTTTACACAGCTCGTTCGTTCCGGGGGCGCGAGCGCGTGAGAAAAAAAATCGAAACTCGCGAGAATATCGGGTATACTTACCAACAACACACGTAGACTGTTGTTTTTGTTTCCTTAATATTTTCATCCGGGCATTTCCGTAAACAAATATGTCCTGTGAATACAATTATCACCTCCAGTTTTCTTCGACCGATCCAATTTACCCCCTGTAGCAGACTCTTTATTTTCATCTTGTCAAAGGATTTTCATTATTTATTTATGTATTGCTAGAGTATCGCTAACAACTTATTGAACCCTGCCAGCCTGAAATGGAGCGGTACATATCGGCGTAACGATTACTTGGCCATTGCTTCATCACGGGTCATAAATAAAAATTAAAAACCACAATATAAAAAAAAAAAGAGAGAGAGAGAAAAAGACGGTGCACGTGTCGCAATGGTGACAAATAACCGGCAATAAAAAAAGAGAGTATGGAATGAAAGGGGTTGACGAGATGGGGGTTGTTGGGTGTGCGGCGCAAGAAGGATCCACAGGAACGAAAACGAGTGGATTTTTGGCAACGCGCACCGATTCGTCACGCCATGGGTCCCCCCACCCAAAGATAAAGGGTTTACGAGACACAATTTCACGGGTCTAAACGTGTCTCTTTTTTTATTTATCGGCGAGTACAGACACGTTGTCGCCTCTCTTTTGCGGGTGTTTGTGCTCTCCTAACTAGGTAGGAGGGGGTCAAAATCGACGCGTGTCCTGCGGACATATATATTTTTATTTTTTGTCATCTGTCGCGGAAATTTCACCATCAGTGTTTGATTTTATGATGTTGCGAACCTTGTACTTAACTTTTACTGTAAGATTTTATGTAAAAAAAAAAAAGAAATAAATAAATCATGAAATCGATAAAATTACCAGTCCACGGAACTGCCTGTACTCATTATTTTTGTCTTTTATTTTTATTTTCCCAGGTACGTCACGGTCGGGGGCTCAGCGCTGAGGATAATACTGCGAAACTTCGCTCCCGTTATCAAGTCCAACGTGGAGGCACCACTTCACACCATCGGAGTCGACGTCAGTCGGGAAGAAAGGTACGGCTTTATTCATACTTTGATATCGTGCCTATACTTGCATCTGCTTATTTTCATTTTCATATTCCATGTACGTATGTGTGTATGTATTTACGTGTCCCTTGTACGCTCTATTTCTCATCGCTGCTGCCCGTTACATGTGAAAGCGCGATGTGATCATTATTCGTTACTTCAACGTTCTGTCTTTCGACGTGTAGGGTAATACGTACTGTTTTACGTGGTGCGTCAATGGTTTTTGTTCAATAATTTTTTTACCTGCTAAAAGTTTACAAATACATTATTTAAGGAATATAATTTAACGCACCCAACAAAGTTAGCAATTTATTATAGTTGCAATCATTTGCACTCGACTAAACTGCAGGTTTCTATACCATTGCATGAAGAACGAAGATCATCGATTGCTGATTTACCAAAGCAGCGCTCATGCATAACTTTCGAAGAGGCAAAATCATGCCTTTTGTCTTTTTAACAGAATACACTGTTTTTTATTTAATTTTTTTTTTTTTT